GATTGATGTAAAATGGAGAGTTCTTTTCTTGTCTTCGTTTTCCAGTTTTATTTATTTATTAATTCACTTATTTTTTCCACGACAAAACCATGTAAACGCAAATATTAGTGACAATTTAAACATTTTTATTCATTTCCCTGTATTGTCAATGGATCTTCTCTCTTCCTGTGTTTTGAATCAAACGAACAGATGAGATATTTCAAAAACAAGAAGTAAAATAAATAGATGGTTGATTATAACTGCCTATCTATCAGCAAGGATCAATGAAATTACCTGTTTTTTAATACGCTGAGTGCGGCTGAATACTTTATTAGGAATGCAGTGTTGCAGGAAAATCTGTTCAAGTAATCTGATAAACATTAGGAGTGAATATGTATGTTTATATACATATATACATTCAAATATAATGTATATATGTGTATCAGTCACTAGCAATCGTCGTGTATTTATATGTGTTATTATGTTTGTGTGAATATGTATGTTTATATACATAAATATTCAATATAATGTATATATGTGCATATTATATATATAATATATATTTATACGAGAACTGAGAAAGTTCCTGTTTTTCCTAGAGATAATCCTATAACTAAAGGATATGTGCAGGTTCTTATATCGTCGTACTTTGCTAACAGAGCCAGTTGGTTTTTAAAAACTCATATCTGTTTATAGACACTGACCAGGCACTGTAAAGTTCAACGGGACCTTAATCAGTCAGCATGTTTCTTATGCACTGTTTAAAACACCCTTGGTAATATTGTTAACACCCTTTGAAAAGCTATAGAATCCATAATGCAAATGGCTAAACAATAGTAGGTGGCCACAACAAACGGAAAGTACAAAGGTTTTTCTATTTATAATTACTTCTGTGACGATGTATCTATGTATCGCTTGATGGCCACATCTAGCGATACATAAAGATGTATATATGTACATACAGGTATATATATATATATATATATATATATATATATATATATATATATATATATATATATATATATATACACATATACACATATATACTGTTGCAATGATTGTGAAAGAATGGTCATATTCATTTCCATTTGTGTCAATGATATAATAAATATGCCTCACGGTAACTGGCAAGTCCTCATCATTAGTTGCACAAAAATGTGGATAATGATCTAATGCAGAATCACATTTCATTGTCTGCTTGAGTACAAATTGCTGAAGGTAGCTAACGATTTTGCAGCTGAGGCCGAAAAACAAAAGAAACAAAGAAAGAAAAATGCATAGGTACACCTGTTAACCATATCGATGGAGAGTAAAACGCCATTAGTGTTCTCGCCTGACAGGTAAGGCCATCAGATTTGACCATGAAATTATTACGGAGGAGTGTGGTGTAGTGGTATCGATTGATACTTTGTCTTGTCTTTCCCGAAGTTCGTGTTTATCTCCAATCTAGTTTCTTATAACCGTGTACATGCGGCGAGGTGTGCGATATAACAAAATACGTTGGTGCTGGCAAGAAATGTGCAAATAACGAAGGTCCAAGCAGAAGTTCTCTGATGCTCTATCTTTTCGATGTTGGTTATGCATAGTGCAACTGACATGAGTGCTTTCTTCAAAGCCTGTAAGAAAGGGTTTAATCTAACACCCATTAAGACTACAAAAGCTTCGTGAAATTGACATACCAGAGGAATCAGTGAAGCCGGAAAAAAACATGCTAGCTTTGCCATATACAAAAAGAAGAGGCAAGGGAGCTGATGCAACTGACACTGAACAAAGTATTGGATGACAGCTCCCATGTCGGTCCTTCTGCCCTCACTTCATCGAGGTGCTTGTAAACCATTTTCACCTCCTTGGTTCGAGTGTGCTGTATGCAAGGAAAGGTCCTTATAGTCAAATAAGGAACTTGCTGGCAGTCGGGAGACAGAAGACTGCTGCTAACGGTGCGATGTCAGAACAGATGCATGTAGGAACAGCGTCCCTAAAGGTAGTATTCATAACCCCTTCGCCAAATTCAGTGCAAGTTGTAAGCCAACATGACGGTGACCAGTAATATTAAGAAATTCCATAGTAGTTCCCACACGGTTCCTATAGCAGTGACAGGTCGGCACTTTTATAATTAAATGACTCAGCTACCACAAAATAACATAGTTTGCACAGAGTTCACTGCTATATGAGAGCAGTACGAGACATGAGAAATGCAAGAAAACTTGCTAGGCTACATAGTGCAGTTCATGATATAAACTGCTTTAAAATACAGCTTTTACTACTGCAATATTAAAGATCTAATGTATTATATCGTCCTACTGTTTTGTATATCATTTACCACAATGAATATTTTGGCAAGCAAACCACAGATCATTTTTAAGAAACTAAATATACAGGAAAGCAGTACAGTACATACAAAGGCAATCTGATGGAGAGCAAACCAAAAGTCTTCAGGAACAAAATTCGTCAACAAGCTTCTTCTCATGTCTATTAGTGGGTACACCGTAGACAATCCCCCGGGATGGAAGTCAATCCATCACAGGTCCATGAAACAGCACTCAAACTGTATGTGGTTCATAGCGGTGTCATCTTTAGTTCCTTGGTCCTTTTGGACTCTGGTCTGCACACCGCACGCAACCATGGAGAAGGGGCACTCGGCTGAGCTCGGGGGGTAGCGAGCATCGCCTGTGCCCTCCAGTGTTGTCCCTGCGAACGGAAATGTCGCTCAATATATAGATATGAATGAATAAATATGTATATTTGTCTGTGTCAGTTTGTATGCCTGTGTGTGTGTGTGTGTGTGTGTGTGTGTGTGTGTGTGTGTGTGTGTGTGTGTGTGTGTGTGTGTGTGTGTGTGTGGTGTGTGTGTGTGTGTGTGTGTGTGTGTGTGTGTGTGTGTGTGTGTGTGTGTGTGTGTGTGTGTGTGTGTGTGTGTGTGTGTGATGCCCTGGCATATTAAACACGATACTCAAAAGGAAAAAGATTCTGGAATACTCCGATTCTCCAAAACTCATAAAGCAATATAGAAATGAAAATCTAACAAACAAAATAAGGTATCAAGTGTCAGGTGATTAGAAATGAACAGAGACAAAGCGAATCCCAGACCCTTTATGTCATTTTCTGACGCATAACAGACGACTGATAATATCACCCCATTAATTTCGATTATATAAAATGATCTGACACCCCAACAGCTAACGTCACGAAGGGCGAAATACCCTGCGGGATTAAATGATTAAACCGTAATTCACGATTTGCGTTGGTTGACCCACCTAAGCCCAAACGGCCGTTCACATCCGCGGAGCAGTGGAAAACGAGGTTATTCAAGGCGTCGTTATCTGCAAAGGGCCCAGCAAAAGGCATGACACTCTGGTCCCAGGCCTTGATCCAAGTCCCAGAGGGGCATCGTTGGTAAGCTGTATTGGGAGAAATGTGTGACAATGGGAAATGTATATTTGGATTCACCTATAGTATCCTGTGGGAGATGAAAGTATAGATTTAAATGAGGATTTGCTTAAACGGAGGACCACTCACGCAGCCATGTCCCATCAGGTTCGTAGTCAGATACTCCTATGACCATGTTATTGGCTTCATATCCATTGGGGAAACTACAAAATATCTGCAGCTGGCTTACTCCAATGGCATCGTCGCCTGAGTACTCATCATACTGCCAAAGGATGGAGTAGATTAGTTCATGTTGCCGGCGGAACATCACCCACGGATAAGACATACAAATCCCCACATCTCATATTTAGAGGTACATTGTCAGTTGAAATTATAACAAGACCAGTCAGACTTATCTTTCACAAATTCTCCCAATCAAAACAAGATGTTGCCTTACCTTAATGCGGACAGCGTGAATGTAGCTTCCAGGTAAACATCTGACCAAAGGACTCCAGTTACCGCGGTTTCCAGGGTTGTCTGTCTCTACTGTTACTTGAGCTGTTCAATTTATTCAAGAATTTACTGATATCCAAGATGTCTACTTACAGTCAAAGGACAACTGAAGAGTAGACAAATAATCTAATAGTGTGTATATATCCTAGAGACAGCAAAAACTTGACAAAACACATAAGATGTAAAAGATAAGATGTAAATCACCTTCACAATCTGAAATACCATAAATCGTCTTATCATTGGGAATTTGCCTCAATCTTTTCTCCTCCTTTGGGGTAGTTATCAAGATCTGAAATATTAATTCTGAATATTGAACTACATCCATGCTCCTCCAAATTCAGACTGGTACATTACTATATTCTTTTGCAATATTGACTTGTCTGTCGGATATAACGTGGGCATGTAGATTGGATTTAAAAAAAAATGGTTCCTTGATCTTTTGATGGGGGTTCACTTTGTTCCAGAAGCAATCATGTAGGCGATACCCTTGTTTTTAGAGTAACCAGAAGCCATGAATAATTGGTCATGGGGAAAAATTCCACGATTCGTCAAAGACTTGTGCACTCGTCTCCCCATAAACAGTGAAAAGCAATCCGATATCAGACTTACCGTTAATGTCGAAGTACTGGACGTAGGTGGAGCTACTGAGTGCAATATCGCTTTGACCAAGACTCAGCAACTGGCAGTGATAAGGCGATGCTACGCCGATGTTGAAGCTTTGGCAATCTCCGTTTCTCTGGCACAAAGCAGAACACTCCACATGGCCTCCAAGTATAGACTATAAACCAATAGAAAGACGTATGAAGCGATTTTATTTTTTAAAAGGAACATTATCGTTAACATTTAGAATGTAAGAATATGGAAGTCATAATAGTTGGGACGTCGCGAAGGGGGTGCGGTTGGGAATGTGAAACCCCCTGAAAAAGGCATCTCGGCAAATGAAACTAACACTGGTATTTTCTCCAATTAAACGCAGAGCAAATTGCGAACAGTTAAAAAACAATAGCAGCAATTTACTGATAGATACGATTGATTTTTAAATGACCACACCTAATAAGCACGCCCTTTTGTCGGCAAATTTAAAACGTTCCTCCCCCCCCCTATTCTACGCCCCTTTCGCTACGGCCCTAATGATAGTA